ACCAGGCTCAGGACAAGTGGCCATCTGCTTTGACCGGATGGTTTGAGAGGACAGGAAGGAGAGACAGACGAACACAGAATGGTAGGTCCAGGTGTATCTGAAAGACAAAAAAACACGTCAAGGATGGAAAAATTAATTACAAATACAAAACAGGTTGAGCAGAGTAAGTAAAGACAGTAGCAGAGTGAAAAGATGTGGCCAGTTTGTCCTCCAGCAGTCTAAACCTGTAGCAGCATAACTAAGGGACAGCTCAATAAACCCAAGCCGACCCTAATTATAGGAAAGTCTTAAGCCCAGTCTTAAAACTGGATAATATGTCAGCCTTTCGGACAGAAACTGGAAGTTGGTTCCACTAGAGAGGAGCCTGATAACTGAAAGATCTTCCTCCTGTTCTGCATTTGTAAACTCTAGGAACCACAAGTAAACTTGCAGTCTGAGAGCAAAGTGCTCTATTAGGAAAATATAGTATGTAAGTGCTATGTGTTGTCATCATTGTATGTTCCCATACGATGATGCAATTGGTTCTCTGCATTTAACCCATCACACCTGGGATACACCAGGTGGAGCAGTGGGCAGCTATGTAAGCGCCCGGGGAGCAATTAGGGATTAAGTGTTTTGCTCAGAGTCACCACAGCATGTGGGAATGGCAGGGGATCGAGCCTGGGGACTTTCGGGTCCCAGGTCAGCTGCCCTACCTCTACTTCATCTCAGCCCCTACAATATGGTACAGTAAGATCTGTAATATAAGATGGAGCTAGGTTGTTGAGAGCTTTGTAGGTTTGAAGTAAGATTTTGAATTAAATTCTGGACTTGACAGGGAGAGAATGGAGAGAAGCTAAAACTGGAGAAATATGATCTCTCCAATTCAAATAACAGAGTGTGGGGTTCGTTAAGGTCTTAGTTTGACTCACAGTAACTATGTTTACATGAGCAATTTCTTTGATCAGATTGAAATGTTGTCAGATTAAATAATTCAAATGTATTGTTTGCATGGGCACAGTGTGTTCACGACCTGCGTTTACAAGCAGCGGGCTTTGTTCTGAACAGAAGTACTGACATGTGGTAAACTCTCCTTAAAAAAAAACAGAAGAAGTTCTACTTCCAGTTTACTTTCGTGATCAACGTAAACAAACCTGAGCACCCAAATGGACCCGCAACAGGTTTTAATGATGGTGGAGACGTTCCTGCACTCCCTGACTGAGCTACAGGTGATACAGATCATTTTGAGCTCTTTCAAAGTTTCTACTAGAAATGTTGTCACTCACCGACTAGATTTGCTTCCCAGACATGCTAATATTATTAGCATTAGCCAGACGGAAATGACATGGTCGCACATGTGCAGTCAGGTGAGTTTTCCTCAATCAGAATAAGATGAACAGATTAAGTGTTTACATGCACACTGTTCAGACTATGATTCGACACAAACCACCTGTCTCATTCTGATTGCAAATTATTTCTGATCGAGCTGAGTCAGCTCAGACTAATCCGAAAGTGGCGTTTACATCATGCATTTTTATTCCGAATGGCGTTTAATCCGATTACTTATGTCCGTGCAAACGTAGCTACTGGAGTTGGTGACGCGTATGAAATTCCTGATGGGTGTGAAAATGACTGGGTGTCGGGCCTAAAGCTGCATTATCTGAGACCTCCTCCTCCGTTTAAAGATGGTTTCTCTCGTTTTACATGGACAGCTCCTTCACCATACGTTGGTTTTGTTGTTTTCACATCTTTAAATGCGCCCTGAGAGCTTCAACAAGCATTTAGCTTAAGTGCAGCCACTGATTGATTCCCCTACTCGTCTGAAGAGTCTTAATTATTAAACGTGCACACTTTTTCACCCCTTTAACGAGCCTTAGTGCCCAATCTGTTTTCTTGTCTGTTTATTTCAGGCGCGCTCATTTTCCCAGCGTTCACGGCGTTTTAGCAGTCTGAAAAGTGGGCAGCTTTTCTCTGAAAATGAAGGTTGTTTTCGTATTCCCTCTCATCTGTTCAATGCCGCTCGTCTCCAAAGCCGCCAAGCGGAGACAATGATTGCCTCGGGGCGAGTCGGCAAGCTGCGCTTCTGCCCAGTCGCAGCGTGTGGAAGTTGTAATTAAAGACCTGAGAAGAGGAAAAAAGAAAGAAAATTCAGTCCGTACTCTCAACTAAAGCGAGGCTCGGCAGTGCGTTCAGTCAGGTTAGGGTGGGGGCTAATTGACAGGGTGGGAGATCCAAAAGTCCTACGCTACACTTGGTCTTCTGAGGACACAAAGCTGCACACATTGTGTGTGCGCTCCTGTGCGTTTGTGTGTGTGCGGTCAGCGTGCAGGACTTCAGTGTTGTGTGTTTCTTTAAGCACAGCTCTGTCCATCCATGTTGGAGCACAGTGAACAGTTTTCTAGGGTTTTGAACTAAGATTGCGGGGGTCCAGGGTTTTGTCTTTCTTTTCTCTATAGCTCTAAACCCGTATGGTTTGAGAAGAAGTTGTCTTTTTTTTTTATGAGCGGTGATTGTTTGGAGAGAGAAACGCCTGAAGGATCTCCCGTTTTAAGTTGCCTAAATCGTGTAAAGTATGGCAGATAGTGCGCATTTATTTAACACATATTTAATTACAGCTTTTTAAACAGCACAAAATTGAACTGTTAATTTTTTTATAAAAAAACGTACAAAGCTCTCTGATTGTTTGTGCATTTTTTCAAAGAAAATACAATCCATCCATCCATCCATTAGTTTTATCTGCTTCTTCCTGTTTGGGTCATGGGGTCACTGGTGCCCATATCCAGCAGCCACTGTGTGGGAGACAGGGGACACCCTGGACAGGTCTCCAGTCCATCACATAGAGACAAACAAGACAAACAACCATTCACTCTCTCACTCACACCTAGAGACAATTTAAAGTTACCAATCACCCTAACATGCATGTTTTTGGTCTGTGGGAGGAAACTGGAGTACACGGAGAAAACCCACGCATGCACGGAGAGAACATGCAAACTCCACCCAGAAAGACCTTCGGCCAGGATTTGATCCAGCAACTTTCTCGCTGAGAGGCAACAGCTCTACCAACTGATCCACCGTGCTGCCCTAGAAATTTCAATATAGAATAAAATCTATAAGCAAATGTTTTTATTCTCTTTTTTCCATTTTCTCTACTTCTACAAAGGAACTAGTCGTAGTCGTGTTGTGTTTTGTTTAGGTTAAAAACACAATTAAAAGTTTCTTTAAAGGCATATTTGCAAAGAAGCAAAAAATAAACACATAATTATAACAACAGTAAGGACTCTGTCATTTCATGACAAACAGATTATGAAAAACACTGCAGTGAGTCAGTTAGTTTTACCTTTTACACTTCCTCAACCCTATTATTTCCATCCACCATGAAACGTGAGCAATGATGTTTGTTTTTTCTGTTAGCAAAATATCTCAGATAACTTGTCAATCTTAGCAAATGTTAAAATGATTTTAACTCGATCAGTTATACCAATATTGAGCTAAAATTATTTTTGGCTGCAGCTGAGAGTGATCTCCAACATACTCTGAGCTCTAACAGATTTAACTAGAGAAAATTATTTTCCTGCGAAAATGCAGTGTGAATGCTGAGTGCAGAAGGACTTGCTGAGAAACAACTGAAATTAACTAAAAAACATGCTGAAATGTAGCTGAAATGGAAGAACAAGCCTAAATTAGCAGAAGAAAGCAGAAAGAACACATATTTGCTGAAATGAGTTTAAATGAGCAGAAATGAGCACAAAAATTAGGAAATTGGCTTTAAAAAAGTTGAAATTAGCAAAAAAAATAATTGCTGAAAAGTAGCTGAAAAAGCAAAAGGAAGCTTAAGCTACCAGAAGGAAATGGAAAGAGCTGAAATGAGCTAAACAATGTGGAGGTGGCTGAAAAAGCTAAAATTAGCATCAATAGAGCTAAATAGTAGCTGAAACAAGCAGAAAAAACTGAAAGGAACATAACAAGCTGAAATTAGCATAAATAAGTTAATTAGCTTGAAAATAAAAGAAATTACCATGAAAAACTTGAATTAATCTGAAGACAGCTAAAATTTGTTAAAAGGTAGCTGAAAAGTTAGAACAAGCTTAAATTAGCAGAAAGCAACAGGAAGAACATGTTTGCCCAATTAGGCTTAGAGAAGCAGAAATGAGCACATATGTTCTTATCTGAAAAAGCTGAAATTAGCAACAACAAAAAAAAAACAGCCGAAAAGTATCTAAAAAAGGCAGAAATAAACCTAAATTACCAGAAGAATGTGGAGAGCGCACATTTTTGCTGAATTAGGCTGAAAAAAGTTTGATTGCAAAAAATATGGAATAAGCCAAAAAAGCTAAAATTAGCATAAAAACAGCTAAATAATTGCTTAAATAGTGGGAAAAGCTGAAATTTGCAGAAATAAATTGAAAAGAGCACCACAAGCTGAAATTTAGCAGAAATAAGTTAGAAGAAGCACAAAATGTTGTTAGCAGAAAGAATCTGAAAGGGGCACAAAACAACTGAGCAAACAGCTGAAAGTAGCTGAAAAAAGTTAAAATTTGCACAAGGAAGCTGAAAGAAGCTGAAGCAGAACAAAATGTGAAAGGAGCAGTAGAAGTTTGTAAACTGATCTAAATATCTGAAGGATGTAAAATGAGCTCAATTCATTTCTATGTGGGGAAGAAAAGGCAGAAAAGGCTAAATATTTATAAAAAAGCTAAAGTTGTACCAATACCAAAAGTCATAGCAGGATTGTCCTGAAAGAGCTGAACGTTTTGATCTGTGATTTGTTGAAATGGCACAAAAACTGTGGAACGAGAAAGATGCTGAAAAACGTACAGAAGAGAATTGTATCAACAGAGTGAATGCTTCATGAACGTCCCCACGTTTCTTTTTGGACTTTGTCACAGAATGCAGCAGGTGAAATGCATTTCTTCACGGAGTGCTCGTTTATTCAGCTTAATCACCTGTTTTGTCTCACAGCAAGTGATGTTGCCGTATAGCGACGCGTGTTTCACGACATATGTGTGTTTCTCTGTTCGCAGTTATGGTGTTCTGCTGTGGGAGCTGCTGACAGGAGAGGTGCCCTACAGGGGGATCGACGGTCTCGCTGTCGCCTACGGTGTCGCCGTCAACAAGCTCACCCTGCCCATCCCGTCCACGTGTCCTGAGCCGTTTGCTCAGCTCATGTCAGGTGGGGTTTAAATGCCGTCTGTTGGGTATGAAATCGTTTTTCACAACGCTTGGATCCTGTTAACATGAACACAGAGAGGGTGCGTTCTGGACCTGCTTTATGTTCATGTTCTCTGTCAGTTCCACGTTGAAACACCACCTGGATGAAACTCAGGCAGCTTGCACTCCTTCCTCCTCCACATCAGCTTGTCATATTTAGTTGGGTTAAAAACACTAAGATGAATGCTCCAAACCACCGGTGGCCACCTCAGTGGATTAATTAATGAATGCATTTGTTTTTGATCTGCTTATTATGCTCAAAGTTTTGTAGCAAATTATGCGAAACTCCCCAAAGCAAGTTAATTAAGCGGAACACTTGGAGTAAAGGGATCAGCTTGTCTCTGCAATCTGCTGCCGTGAAATGCCTGAAACACGTGTAAATAAAAATAACTGGCATCACAGGATATTCATTAAATCTTATGGAACAGAGAAACATCCATGTGAGGGTGTCATCTGGCCTAATGGAGGCCTTGAAATCAGGCTCCAGAGTAGAGAAGTTGTACTGACAGAAGCTGATTCTGATCCACTAGTTAAAGACCACATGGACAGTTTGCTTCAGCTTTATGCTGCTGAAGATCAATGTTTTCCATGCTCTGAATCCCATCGAGTTTGCTGTATTTTTGACAGAGTGCTGGGACCAGGACCCTCATCGAAGACCCAACTTTGACTCCATCCTGGCCCAGCTGACTGCCCTGGAGCAGCAAGTGAAGGAAGAGATGCCCCAGGAGTCCTTCCACTCCCTGCAGGAGGACTGGAAGCTGGAGATTCAGGACATGTTCGATGAACTGCGGGCCAAAGAGAAAGTAAGGGCTAAGGCTTAGTTGGTTAACTTGATCCATCAGAAATCTTTCGGCTCCCGTTTAGCCTCTCATTCTCCTGCTCCTCATTACAAGGAGACTTTATTGTCATTCACAGCACATGTGGTACATGAGGTGGAACGAAATTGTGAACCCAGGGTCCCAGTTACACCCAAAAATGGCAAAAATATGAAGTATTAAAAGAAACAGTATACAAGGATCTAGGATACACACTAAACAATATAATACGGTATATTAAACAGCAGCCTGAACATGAGTCTGTTGTGAGCAGATGGTTATGAATTACTCGGGGATACTAAAATCAGACGGGAACAACACAAACATTTTCTTAATGATGTCATGGTGATGCATTCAATAACCAAAATCCAAATGCTGTGCTAACTAAAAGTAAAGTGTAACAATTAAATCATTGACAGAAAATGTGTAATCCATTCATGGTTTGGAAAGTGAATCAGTCAGTTCAGTTTATATAGAACCAGTTTACCACAGTCATCTCAGAGTGCTACCCCCCCCCCCCCCCCAACATTTAGTACAACAATGCTGTTTCGCATGCATGCAGGCTGCAGCATTGGACATTCCACGTCTGACTCCTGTTGGCATCTCCCAAAGTTGGACATCATTAATGGACTCACGGGGCTCCCACAGCTCTGTAGTATCTCTGGGTCAGTGAAAGCAAAATAAACAATCATATAATGGGTAAAAGTGGTTGTTAATGACACAATCGGCTTGCCATACACTGCCACCATCATCTGCCTGGAGCAACCGTCAAACCAGCTTAATTTCACGGCACCGCCCTGGCGAAATGCAGCTAATTTGACCATTGAAGTGCATTTATTAAGTAAAAGTTCAACTGAGACACACCTTTACTGTAAAGTCGAGCAAAGAAATAGTTTTTAGGTGTTTATCTTGTTAAATTTCGAATAAATGGACAGCAAGTCGCCCTCTGCGTGTTCATGTTTCCGCGTATCGGCTTTTGAAATGCAGCTGATTTGACCATTGAAGTGCATTTATTAAGTAACCGTTCATCTGAGACACACCTTTACTGTAAAGTCGAGCAAACAAATAATTGTTTTTCAATGTTAATCTTGTTAACTTCTTTTTCAAGTCCTCCCGTGCACGCTCCCGCGGCCGCCATTTGGCAGCCAATCGATTTTTTTTTTTTTTTTTTTTTTTTTGCACAATGCCGGCCCACATTTCTGAGTGGTCAGCAGTGATGCGTATTAGATGCGACATATACGGCAAAGTGACTTATTTATGGATTTTTCAACTTTATCAGACATATTTGTAGTGATGCGACTTACAGGGCGCTGCGACGTGTATGGTGGAAAGTACGGTAGACAGAATTCAGTGAGACTGCAACTCTTTTTCACAGTTTGAGTAGCTCGTCTCCGACAGTCAGCCCAGTGAGATACTGGCTTTAGATGTAATAAATTTTAGACCATTACATTCATGCTTCTGCCGCACATAATATACTTGGTCCATGAAATGGACCGGCTCCAGATGCCCACGCTCAGTTTAGTGGTTGAGATGCCACAACACATGCTGAGCGTTGGGAGGGTCGTGACGACAGAAGGAGAGGAAATATCTTGTTTTCCTAATATTGTGAATTCTTAAGTTTCTAATCCAACACCCGCTCTTCTTAAGATCAAACTGTCAGATAGTGTGCGGTGCAGAAATCATCAGCAGAGGCCTAAAACGATGAGCGCTGCGACTCATCTTAAATGGGGGTCTGCTTGTCTGTGCTCCTCAGAGTGGCTGCTCTCGTCCAACACGGCCGAGCATCTCCGTGTGTTATCAGAACCACTATTAAAAAACGAGTTCAGGTCGTTAAAGTACGTAATATAAAATCCCAGGAGCAGAAACTGATCGTGCTTTTTGAACAGGCCCAAAACATCTACATGTCTCATATTCCCTCGGGATTACACTACAAATGTCTAATCCCAGTCATGCATGAGTAAGAGCTGGGAGTGACGCTCCGTCCACCTGCCTTTCCTCCTCCACCAGGAGCTGCGGTGCCGCGAGGAAGAGCTGAAGCGGGCGGCGCTGGAGCAGAAGTCCCACGAAGAGTTCCTGCGGCAGCGCGAGCAGCAGCTGGCCCAGTGGGAGCAGGACGTGTTCGAGCGCGAGCTCAGCCTCCTCATCCTGCACCTGAACCAGAACCAGGAGAAGCCCAACGTCAAGAAGAGGAAGGGCACGTTCAAGAAGCACAAGCTCAAGGGCAAGAACGGCGAGAAGATCAGCATGCCCCAAGGTGCGTCACTCAACCTTTAACCTTTTAGTAGAAAGCCAGCATCAAACCATAAAGCTAGAAGCTTTCAGTGTAACGGAGCCACCAACAAACTGAGCTCAGGGGCGGTTCTAGAAGCTGACCTTTAGGGGTGCTCAGCCCCCCAGTGCTGACAATGACTCTTGGCCATTAGTGTCAGAAGCATTTGTAAAGTTGGGGGGATACACTGATGGTGGGGTGGGGGGTGGGGTTCTTGGGGTCCTCCCTCAGAAAATTTTAAATAAAGTAGATGCCATTTCCTGCATTCTGTTTACCTCCATAAGTAAACACTTGATTCAACTATTTTCGAGAGCACGGCACAAGAAGTAATCTGACCAACAGCTCCCCCTGTCAATAACTGCTAGCACTAATGTAGCACTAAGCTAGTGCTAGCTAAGATGCTACAGATATAGCGCTCTGCTTTACATTACACAACCTAATAAACACTTTGTACAAAATCAGTTTAGTTTTAACTGATCATAACAAAGACTAAACTTATGCAACCAGAAGTTACAACATGTATCTACATGTAAAACACACAAAAAAAACAACTATCTTTAAATTAACCTTCAGTTCAACCATTAAGTATACAATGTAACTATGACAAAAAAAATGAGGATTTATCTGCAGTTACCTTCGTACAGATGAACATGTGGTACTTCCTGTTTATCACGTATTCAGCTGCTCATGAGGTCGGCTGCAGGACTTGATCATCTTCTACAATTTTCCAGACTCAGTGGAACTTTTGGAAATGACATAAACTGTATTACAACCTCTAAACACATCAGGTAACACGTGTCTGAATCTCCACTGACAACATTTAAACATTTTTTCAGATGATTTTTCACCAAATCCCTCTGACCGCAAAGTGTTCATAAGGCAAAACCCCACAAAATTGTCAAAGAGAAAGTGGGTGGAGCTTCTGCAGGTAAGGGGCGTTTCACTTGGGGACAAATTGAGCTTGCTGATTCGTCAGTTGTTGACAAGCCTGCTGGATTGATTGACAGGTGGTGTTGCGGATCCGACTCATGCAAAAAAAAAAATCATATTTACTGGCCCGTTTAAGACGGTCATCATCTATTCCAAATTTATTCAATATTTTGGTGAATTTATGGTTTGAGAACAAAGCTGTTACAAAATCCTAATGATGGTTTCTTAATTTTTCAGAGGTGCTGAGTTAAAATTTAGCATTTTTTGAGCATCTCTAAAATGAGGCTAAAATCACCACCGTCTGAGCTGCTGCTGTTCTCCCTGATTTTCACCTGACTGCTGCTAAATGTGTGTTTCCTGCTCTGACAGTCCCACAGACAGCAGCAGCAGTTCCCATCCCATGTTTCAATGCTCCACTCAGTGTATTTTGGGCTGAGCAAGCATGCGTAAATGCAGTGTCTGTGTGTGTGTTTGTCAGTGTGTGTGTGTGTGTGTGTGTGTGTGTGTGTGTGCTGTGGTCAGGCCTTTCCCAGCAGCAGCAGCAGCAGGGCGGTGATGCGGTGGTGGTAGGAGGGGGGTTGATGAGAGGGGGGAACGAGCCAACCACGCCTCGCCGCTTCCTGTCCATGGATATACTGAGGCCTCGCTCGCTCTTTCTTTTTCGAGATGCCTTCCTTTCCCCTCCTGTTCCCCTGTTGGTGTTTTTTTACTCTCATTCTCACCATATCTGAGCGGCCATTTTTAGTCTGACCAGTTCTATTATTATGTGCTCGTTCCTCTCACTTTATACCCCAAAGGAGCCTCTACAATGTGCTTTATTATCAAGATGTAAACACAGTGGATTTACTCGCTCACACAGGGGATTTATTTGTCACTTACACAAACAACACACGTGATAAAGTGCAGTTGTTCATACTTGTAAAGCTGTGCTAAAAGAATAATTTGGAAAATAATGCTGGGAATTAAAATTATGTTGTATAATCCTTCAAAGATAAAAAGAAAAATGGTATTCTTGACTGATGGAGGCTTTGCAGCAGCATTTTTTTTTTACATTCTTAATGCAGCTGAATATTCAAAGCAGCAAATGATTTCGCAACAATTATATGAATTTTAAAAATATGAATGTCCACCAAGTACCGTATTTTCCGCCGTATACGTCGCATCAGTCCAAATATGTCCAATAAAGTGGAAAAAACCACAAATACATTGCTTCGCTGTATATGTCACATCTATTATGCTTCACCACTAACTATCTGGAAATGTGGGCCGGTGTTGTGCCAAAAATTGATTGGCTGCCAAATGGTGGCCACGGGAGCACGCACGAGAGGAATTTAACAATAATTTAACAAGATTAACACTTAAAAACTATTATTTGTTTGCTCAAAATTATAATAAAGGTGTGTCTTAGTTGAACTTTTCCTTAATAAATGCACTTTAATGGTCAAATCAGCTGCATTTCGCCTGAGCGGTGCGGAGAAATGTAGCTGATTTGACTTTTTTCTCCAGGAGTTCCGGAGCAAGACAAAAGTGGCTCTGTATGGCAAGCCAAGTGTCTCATTAATAGCCACTTTTACCTATTAATGAGACACTTGCCTTGCCATATTAGTTGAGTGCCTTCTAGTGGCTGAAAATGATAGTGTTCAATATTTTCCATGTCAAAATTAATGAAATTGTCAGATCTCAGCCAAAAATTGGGTTATAAATATGGGAAAAATTATAAATTAGTCGCTTCACTGTTTAAGTCACGGGGCATGTTAATTTATGTAAAAGGTGCAACTTATACAGCGAAAAATACAGTTGCTCAAATCCTGACATGCTAGCTACCGGGCTTATAAAAGCGGTGTAAAGATTTTAGAGGTGGAGTTTTGTAGAAACACGAGCAAATTTAGTTATAATGTTTTTATACCTAGCTCTTGAAATGACTTCAAGAAGTAAACAAAGTAGAATTTGATTTGGAGTATGTAAAACTAGCTAACGGCTAGTTTGAACCAAGACTAAAGTGGATCTCAGCCTTTGTAAAAAATATGCTAATGCTAATATTTAAAGCTTTCCACCTGCTGACAGTTTCACAGTTCCATGTTGTTTCAGCAGAAAAGTTATAATTATTCAGTTGGAAGACTGGGAATACTCTAGCTTGCTGCTGCCGCTATTTGCGATAACAAATAGCCACAAAACTCAATGTCAATAACCGTACGGTGTGACCGTAATTTACAGGTCATAGGAAATAGTGTTCACGTGAAAGGCTACAAAGTTTAGTGATTTCAGAAGTTTACTTTAGCATAGACTAGCCATTAGCTCATTAATCAAGTGAAACATAATCTCCTTTTTTCCAGTCTGTCTGTTCAAAGAGCTATCTGCAACAGATAAGATATTCATTGTTCACAAGTTTTCCACAAAACTCCACTTCAAAATGTCTACATGATCCTTTTAATGTTTTTTATCTAACTAGCTAAGGTGTTAGCTGATGTAGCATTTGACTTTATGGGGGGGAAAAAGACAAAGTTAACATTTAGAAAATTGTTGTGACCTTTTTTTTAATCTACTTCTGGAAGAATTCTGGCCAGCTGTGCTCCTTTGAGTCATTTCAGAGGGTAGATTATTAATTCCTCAGCACAAACCAGTTTTTAAGAAGTAATTAAGAAAGATGACAGTACAAATAACAAATTGGGAGAAGGAAATAAATATAATGAGTGCACTTTAATTTAGGGTTTATTTTACAACAACGTGTATTAGTCTCAGGTAATGTCTTATTAAACCGTTTTCCTGCCTGTGTGGCTGCCTCTGTAATGGCAAAATCGCTTGCGTCTTTCAGCAGCAACCACACATACTTCAGATTAAGTGCACTGAGCCATTGCTTCAAGTTGGTGCCTAAATTGAGCTTGATGAACGACTGGAATGGAAGTATTTATTAAATCTTCTAATGAATTACCGGTTCCTAAAAACTTGCACTTTCAAATGATTACTTTTGGGTTTCAATCTACAGATCTAGTAAATGATTTAAACTTTATTTAAAATTGTTCTCTGACTTCATGATTTAAATAAATTATAATATATGTGCCCCTTTTCTTTTATTTATTTTTTGACAAAAGAACAAAATTCAGTCAGCCTTTATTTATACAGGTTAGTCTCATTGAATCACGAGGACTCGTTTACAAGAGAGACCTGTTCCAGACAGAACATATAAAGTACAGACAACAATAACAGCAGACAATGACAACAATAAACTACAGTAAAAATGCAGTTAAAATAAGAATAGTGTATAAAACAAGTCAGTGTACCGTAAAACAGGGTGAAATACTAAAAACAAGAACATATTTGCTTTGATTTTTCTATTGACATTATCAAATGTTTAAAAACCCTTAAAGAAATTAAGGTGGACAACTTCAGTTCAAAATGTTCCAGGTTGCAGAAGCTGAATAGGTAAAGGCCTTTTTGCCAAGTTCAGTCCACACTGAGGGAACGCTGCAGGTAATAGATGAAAATGAACCTGTGTGAGAGCCTACATGTACATAATGATAACCAACTGACCAATGAGTACAGGGTGCAGTGATGGGTACAGTAGTTACAACCAGTTATGAATCTTAGTGCACCATGATAGACAACATCCAACATCTGCAAGGAGATGGCGGGGGCATTCATGTAAATAATGTCAGCATAATCAATGGCTGGAAGGAAGGTAGCAGTTACAAAGCGTTTTCTGGCATTGAGAGTTAAGCAAGATCTATTTCTGAAAAAAGAAACCCAGTTTTAATTTTATGTTCTTTATCAGGTTTTCAATATGTGGTTTAAAAGAGAGATGTGTATCAATTAAAATTCCCAAGTATTTGTAAGAATTCGCAAATTCAATAGGAATACCATGCGTGGATGAGATAGGAGGAAGAGTTGCTGGCACAGACTATTTGTTGTAAAACAACATCCCTTTGGTTTTATCAGCATTGAGCACCAGCTTGAGATGGAATAAGTCGGACCGAATGATGTCAAATGCAGACTGTAGCAGCTGGAAAACCTTGACAACTGTGTTAGCTGAGCAATAAACTGTATTGTCAACATAGAGATGCAAAGAGGCATCAGGAATGTTTTGACCTACATTATTTATATAAATTGTAAAAAGATTGGGTCCTAAAACTGAGCCTTGTGGCACACCATTAGTGACCGTAAAATAGCTAGACAAAGTACTGTTGTGTCAAACACATTGCCTCCGACCTGAGTGATAGTTAGAAAACAAATAAAACAAAAGCCCTGTCATCTTGTACAGTCATCACGTATTTCAAGTGTGGCTCTCAAAATATGACGTTTTTAGTTTTGAATATACAAGAAATTAAAAGGAGTCACCGCAAATAAAGTTACTAATCTGAAAGTCAGTTTTACCAATTCAAAAAAGAGCATGAATAATAATAATTAAAAAAACAAATTAATTGGGGTTCATTTATGAACATTTATTAAATGAGAAAAAAGTTGGTGTGAAGGAGAACTCTACCATAATGCAGAATTACAGAACTGACAGATTTAAATAATTTCTTGTGCACTGGTTATTATAGTTAGACTAAGGCTATTTACAATAAAAAGTCACTACCAACAGATTCGGACAGTGTATCATATTGTCATAAATATATAAGTAGTTAATATACATTACAGTTGTCATTATTGGCAGTTTCAGATTAAATACAATATAATCTTTAAATTCACATTCTGAATGGCCTTGTGAAGCAAACTGGACATTTAAGCTTGTTTTTAGCTGTGTTAGCCTCAACAAGCTGCTGTCTGACACCTGTGTTTTTAATAAATACTAGCTTGGAAGGTTGAATTAAATAATGTTAGCTCTCAATTAAACCTTAAGCAAAAACAGAAATGGACAACAACATTATTTATTAGTATTATTACCAATTTATTTAGTATTTATAACATCTTGTCTAAAAATGATGCAGAAAAACTGGTTCATGCATTTGTCACGTCTAGACTGGACTATTGCAATGGTTTATTATCTGGGTGTCCAAATACTTCTTTAAAACGTCTTCAGTTGATCCAAAATGCTGCTGCCAGAGTCTTAACTGGAGTTAGTGGGAGAGATCATATCTCTCCAGTTTTAGCTTCTCTCCATTGGCTCCCTGTCAAATCCAGAATATAATTTAAAATCTTACTTCTAACCTACAAAGTTCTCAACAACCTAGCTCCATCTTAGGTTACGGATATCGTTCCGTATTTTCCTAACAGCACTTTGCTCTCATACTTCTGGTTTACTTGTGGTTCCTAGAGTTCCCAAAAGCAGAATGGGAGGAAGATATTTCAGTTATCAGGCTCCTCTCTTGTGGAACCAACTTCTAGTTTCTGTCCGTGAGGCTGACACATTGCCCAGTTTTAAGACTGGGATTAAGATTTTCCTTTTTGCTCAATCTTATATTGAGGGTCAATTTGGTTTCCTGAGCTGTCCCTTTGTTTTGCTGCTATAGGCTTAGACTGCTGGAGGACAAATTGACCACATTTCCTCACTCTGCTGCTGTCTTTACTTGCTCCACTCTACCTGTTGGTATTTATATTTCGATCTTAACATGTTTTTGTCTTTCCTCCTATAGAAAGTACACCTGGACCTGCCATTCTGTGTTTTTCTGTCTCTCCTTCCTGTTCCTTTCAAACTCAGCTGGTTGAAGCAGATGGCCATTCGTCCTGAGCCTGGTTCTGCTGGAGGTTTCTTTCTGTTAAAAGGGAGTTTTTTCTTTCCAGTTTGTTCTTGTTCAGGATGGGAGACTGTGACAAAGTGAAGATTCATCGTGTCTGCTGCTTCCTTAGATAGAGAACTTTATTAATTGGCTTTTCTATGGATGTGAATGTTCCTGTTCAGTGTCCTGAGATGACTTCTGTTGTCACTTGGAGCTATATAAACGAACTGATTTGAGCTGAATTGGTTTTCTCCACATTTAAGCACATCACGTCTAATATGCACCAAGATGAAGCGTCATGTTTGCATTTTTAGAACTTTTAATTTAACTTTAACAACTATATGAACGTTTGACATCAAGTTCTATGCGTGTTTGTGTGTTTTACAGATTTCATCCATAAGATTACGGTTCAGGCGTCTCCCGGTCTGGAAAAGAGGAGGAACTCTCCTGATTTGGGTTCGGGTTCCTCGCCTTCAATCGGCCCTCGGTTTCGTGCAATCCAACGTGAGTGAAGCCGCCTCCCCCCCTCCACCACCGCAGTCTTATGTGCAGAAACACGGCATATTTGTATTTACTGTTTGCTTTAAGAAAGACACATGGAGAGGAGAGGACTTTAACGTATTCCATCGTTCATGTTCCCGTCTTTTGTCTTCCCCTGACTCCCCGTGGGCCTCCTGTTCTCTCTCTCCAACTCTTCCCTCCATGGTCTGTCTCTCACACACACCCTTTTCCCTTCTCTACAGTCTGTTCCAGTCTAAATATTGTCTGACTTCCTCTCAGCAGTTCAGCACATTTTCCCTCCTCCTGTTTGCAGATACTTGGTCTCGGCAGGAGAGGGCGCCGTTCAGCTGCATGTTTTCTAAATGTCTTGGGCAGAGCCAGTTTGATATGCACGCAGTGGTCACGGTGCGGTTGGATGAATCACAAATAGGCGTGAGGGGGATTCATTTCTCTGTGAGAGGAGGTTAAGAAGGGTTGCAGAGGTTTACAGTACTCTGCTGCTTGTCAGGCTCTCACACCGACGTCCTGAGGTCTCTGCTGAGGGATCCTCCGGCCTGAGCGTTCCGGCGCTTTCTATCGAAACAAAAACAAACAGTGAAAAGGATTTTACTAAGCAGTCACCACAGAGGTTAACACAGAAGAACAGATTGTGGTAGAAAATAATGTATCTGCAGAGAAGTGGTAAATAAATGTAAAGCATCTTCTTGCTTCATTTAGTCATTAAATAGTGGACGGGCTTTTTAAATTTCCAAACGACTCTCTAATGGAAGTCATTGAGCCGTGTGTAGCTGTCATTAAAACGTGTTTAGAACTTATTTATGCTCGCCCTCTTCGGAGCTATCAGTGATTTATCTCCGGGGTCTAAAAGAGACATTTGTCGTGAGAACAGACATTTGCATTCGTCTGCTGAGCTCAATTCCATTGTCTCATTTTCTGACAAATTAGATAACGAGGAGCTCAAACCAACCCTTTTTTTTTTAATTTTTTATAGAATGAATAGACTCAAAGCTGGTTTTAGTTAGCATCTTTTCCTCGTCAGGAGGCTGCCAGTGTGATGAGCTTTAGCCGATTCTCAATGTTGGTAGCATAAGTTATTTTCTTCCAGTGATTCTGATGCATGCTCAATAATCCAGGTAGAAAAATCTAAAAAAGTTCAATCTGGTCCTCTGGACATTCAAAAAACAAAACAGAGCAAAACAACAAGAACAACAACAACAAAAAAAAGAAACGTTTCATCTTTCATTCGAAAGACTTCCTCAGTCTGAGGTGCTGTATTCAGCTCAGTCTTATAAATAGCACCTTCTCAGAGTGGATCAACCAGTTTGCTGCTGGCAACCAAAACCACCTCAGACTGAGGAAGTCTTTCGGATGAAAAATGAAACGTTTCTACTTTTTAAAATTTTTCTTTGCTTTGTTTTGTTTTTTGAATGTCCAGAGGACCAGACTTAACTTTTTTAGATTCCAAACAGTGACTTTATAGAGAACGGTTTTAAAGAAACTTTCTGATATATCAAAGTATTATTCCCCACCAAACTATAAATTATAACAAGATTGAGTTTCCAGTTAATGATTCAGTGTCTCAAAAAAAGAAATCAAAGACCTTCTGTGTTGTTTTTGTTTTGTTCATTGACCCTTTATTTATCCAGGTAGTCTCATTGAGCCACGAGAACTCATTTTCAAGAGAGACCTGTTTAGGGAGCAGATGGGGGTTAAGGGCCTTGCTCATGGGCTCAAAGTGGGGCGAATGAGGGTGGGGGCAGGTGTGGGTGCTTTGCCTACCCCACCCACATTTTTTATGTCTGTACCGGGGCTTGAACCAGCGATCTTCCGATCACAGGCCCACCTTCTCTAACCTCTGTGCCACCACTCCCCAGTTTCCCTCAGCATAAGTTACAGAGCATATTCTGTAGAAATATCTTTGTTCTAATATGTTCTACTAAAATAATGACATTTTTTAGTCGTAGAACAATCAGACCTTTGGAAATGTGCTGAGTCAGAGTGCTGGTGCTGTTTCTACAGTAACCTTACTTTCTGTGCTGAGATAATAATCCATAAGGTCTCTCAAACTGTGACAGAAAGTTGACAGATGTTGCAGGAGTGTGTACACACCGTACATGTGACTAAATGCTGTTCACACACTTTGCCTTAACAACAACACGGTGGTTTGGAGGGGAAGTGCTGAGATCTTGCCAGAACTTGGCAGGTGCAATCTCATCTTTTCCCCTCACTCTCCAAGGTGACGCTGGCTCCCTCTCATCACACGTTTGGCCTTGTGAAGCATGTCTAAGGTGTAGACTGCATCCACACGATCGGTTTTAGAGTTAATTGGGACTCCCAACTTTGTTGAACTAGTAGAAAAAATAGAAGTCGAGCTGTTCCACAAGTCAGTTTGAGTTCTTTGTGTTGGAGATGATTGCAGAGCTGTGTTGATTTGTTGGTAAAATCCAGCTTTTAAAGCACTTTTCACATTAGAGTTTAAAAAAATATACTCATGCTAATTTTATTCTGCTTTCTACATTATTTTTTTCAGTCCCTGCAGTCGGTCCCAGTGTGAGCAGCAGTTCGTTTGGTCTCAGCCCAGTTCGGCCCCTAGAGCCCCCCTCTCTCAAGCAATATAATGGTGACCTAAGGTTGAGTCCCCACTGGAGGCCTCAGAGCCCAAAGAGTCCCATAAGCCCTAAAGTCCTGCGGCTCAGTCCCCAGGAAAGCAGGTACGCCACGATCATTGTGTTTCCTCCCACATCTTCACAGGACTGTGATGTGGCTCTGCTTAACTCAACTCCTGATTTAAATTCTGTCTGCTTTTAGTCTGTCGATGAGGGCCAAGCTCCTGGAGTCTGACAGCAATGAAAATGGAGAGTCCAGGGATGACTTTGAGGCGTACCGACCCTCCACTCCAACCCCATCAGCTCAGAACGGTACTGCACCCTCCATCACTGTTCCAGCCACCATCTGCGTGGTTAACCGTGTTAAAACTCACATGAGGTTGAATTATAAATAGACGCTCGATGAATAATAAATGCGTTGACTCATCTCTTTTATGTCTCATAGTTCTGTTCTCTTTAAACTCTCTCTCTCTTCAGGCTCGTCGATAAAGGACAGTTTACGGTTTCCCTCCTCTCAGGGAGACTCAGGCAGTGAAGAAGGGGGGTACTCCCCAGCAGGCTCCCCCATGCCTGAGAGGGGTTCCTTTGGCAGCATGATTAAGAATACACACCGAGCTCTGCTGGGCACTGGCTCCATCTTGGCTTCCATAGGACTAGGTCGAGGTCTGGAGATTCCCCCCAGGGTGCCCCCTCGAACTAACCTTCCCTCTTTAGAGGACCGCACCTCCTTCGAACTTGAGATCTCCCACCCTAAGCCCCTAATATCAGACCCCCCAACTGTGGATGACCTCATAACCTTCTCCACCACTGTGCCGCTCCCTAGACCACTTTTGGAATTAGCCCTGCAATACCAGGAGCTGAAACCCCTGCCCCTGACCCCGCCTCCACCCAACCCCCGAGAGAGGTCCGGACACCGGGTGCAGCATGCGCACCACAGTCCGCCGAGCCCCGGGACACCGCAGCAGCACGACGGAGCCAGCCTGGGGGATTGGACCACCAGTTCTAGTTCCAGCAATGGGGAGATGAGCGTTGAAGTTTTGGAACACAGAGCAGAAAGGAGGAGGAGGTCCAGCCAAGGCCTACACGCTTCTCAGCTAGGTCGGTCTGGTTGTTTGTTTCAGAGCAATGTTACAAGTCAAAGTAAACTATCTGAGGTTCTGTAGGGCCCGTGCAGTGACGGTACTTGTTTGTTCCTTCACAATGGACAGAAACTTGCCAAGTAGTACAACCTGATGCTATTAGCATTATTCAAGTCAGATTTATTTATAAAGCACATTTAAAACAGCAGCTGTTACCAAAGAGCTTAACAATCAGATCAAATTCGGTAGTTAAAGAAAAAAATAACGAGATGTAATTAAAAGCAAAAGAAAAACAAACAAAAACAATGAAATACTAAATCAACTCACACTGTGTTAACTGTCAGTGAATACAGATGTGTTTTAGGGAGAGATTTAAAAACAGGAAGTGACGTGGTCTGTCTAACGTTGGGGGGCAGGTTGTTCCAGAGTTTAGGACCCACGACTGAAAAAGCCTGATCTCCTCTGAGCTTCAACCAAAAGCAGCTGGTTAGATGATCTCAGCACCTCGAGAAGGAACATATGGTTCCAGTAGCTCAGAGAGATATGAGGGTGCAAGGTCATTTAAAGGTCAACAGGAGAATTTAAAAATCAATTCTGATATGTACAGGGAGCCAGTGAGGAAAGGACAAAACTGGTGTAATGTGATCAAACCTATGAGTTCCTGGTTAAGAGCCGAGCTGCAGCATTTTGGACAAACTGGAGACGAGAAATGGAGACCTGACTGGCCCCAACATAAAGCACGTTACAGTAGTCTAGTTGGTTTTTAATGAAGGCATGGACTATTTTTTAAGGTCAGAATGGGTCGATACTGACTTAAACTTGGCTGTCTGCCATAACTGGAAGAAGCTTTTCTGTAGAACAGAGTTAATCTGTTTATTAATCTGAGGGGCCGTTTACACGGTGCGTATTTTGAGTGCATCCGCAGCTTTCTCTCTGTGGTTCTGCTGCTGTGATTGAAGTAAACACAAGTTAACATTATTAAGAACATTTGATTTACCTGCTGTAAATCAGCTACTGATTATCACGGAGTAAAGTCCGACATCGTCGACTGTTCTGGTCCACTCAGCGACCGGTGTGGAACTGAAGCGGTTCCGCTTGGCATTAAATCTGTTGACTCATTCAAAATCCAGCTTTAATTTGTTGTTAGCTGAGCTTTTAGCCCACAGGAAAGGAGTGTGGCAAGGCACCACACATGCGCATTAGGTGAATGTACAAGATTCACAGCGCCATCTAATGACCCGTCATGGTAACAAAATCCGTCCATGTCAACACAAACCTTTTCCTCTAATTAACATACAAATAAACCTACGTTTCCCCCCATCGTGTCTGTGTAAATAGGGCCTTAAAGTCAGAGTCTAAAACCATCCTGAGATTTGTAGCAGACTGCTTAAAATATGTATCAAGAGAGTCGAGGTTAACAGGAACAGAGACAGCAGTAGAGCTAATGCTAAACACAATGACTTCAGTTTTTTTAATCATTAAAACTTCAAAAATTTAAAGCTATCCATGCCTTAATGTCATCAAGACATTTTAACAGAGGATGAGTGGAGCAAGAACTATTAGGTTTCAAGGGCAGATAAATCTGACAATCATCAGCATAGCAGTGAAATGAAACACCATGTTTCCTCAGGATAGACCCCAAAGGGAGCAGACAGAGTGAAAACAGAAGGGGTCCAAGAATCGAGCCCTGCTATTAGAGCACATAGTTGGTTGTATAGATATTGAGATCTGACAAAGACTAGGATGAGACCATCGCATGGTACATCAGCGACGTACCGTGCCTCGTACCAAACCTCTAAGGATGGCTCGTCGTTTCACCTCGTTAAACCCTCAGAGCAGGACCTCGCTACATCGCACTTTAAGGTGGAGGCAGTTTTGGAGACACAGGTGTGTTCAGTAGCTGAGCCCAGACTGTGATTGGATTCAGGCAGCAGGACGACCTGCTTCAAAACAATATGCCAGTTGGGAATTGGAGAGTTATCCAATCGACGAGGGTGAGAAGGCAATTGATCTTTTTACACTTTATACACCCTCTGGATTAAGTTTTGTCATCTTCCTGGTGCGATGCCAAGGTACTAGAGCCACTCACGAAATCATTCAGTCAGTGGCAACATGTTTTTTGTGGGTCGTGTTTTGTTTGGGATTTATTTTTAAACAATAAAATATCCATCTGATGGTTAGAATGCAGCACAAAACAACAATTTTGATCATTTTAGGGACATTTTTACTTCTTTTAAAAGGAATCGCATGACTTCCTGATAAACTAACCAATGAAATTTGCTGCACAACATGCATGTAAGCTGCATGAGCTCTATACGTCTTTAAAACGTCTTATTTCTCTGTTACCCCTGAACTTATGGCTCGTTTTTATTTGATTTGCAGTGTAAACCAAATATGTCAACATTTAGGTAGCCTTATACTTTGCTCCTGCCTTTCCATCGCCAAAAGTGTTGGGACACCCCTACATACTGGTGTGTGGAACTGGATACTGGCTGAGACAATGTTTTATTAGCTGCCAGTTGATAGTAAATCAAGTATTCTGCCTTTCCTGGTTTAATCATGGAACAGGTTGTTCTGAACACCTGCCTGATTAAAATCCACCTCAAAATGACCCGAGTGTTTCTTAAAGCACATATTCCTCCCCAGTTGAGTCTCTGATTTGGTTTTTAATTTTATCTTCTTGATTCATCTGGAATTCCTCTCTGATCGTGTTTCCAGAGACCATGCTCACAGAAATGTGGATCCAGCTTTAACCTTGAAGGATGTCCCTCCTCAGCATGACAACATCCTCTCACACTCTTAAAGAATTAAGACTTTGCCTTTTTTTTTTTTGGCAAGATTTTCTTTTCTTTTTTTTTTGGTCTGGCACAAGGATACTTTAGTGCCGCAGGAGCTTTTTCATTTACATCAAAGCTCTTCTGTTATTTGCATATCTCTCGAAACAGCTGGCCCTTGTCGTGCTTCACCGCTAATGCTAACCAGAGCTAGCGTCCAGATTTTCATACTTTTGCTTCTTCCAAAACACAAAGTTTTATTTATTAAATAAAGGCCTGCCTTTTGAAAAGATGCATATTACCTGGTGCCTTTCCTACTAAAGTTTTAACCTAAGATCATTTAATGATGAGAAATGGTGTTCTACGCATGTTAGTCCAACCTTGAAGATAGCATCATACATGATAGTGTGATGTCATAACATGTTGGCACCTAGCGTGTCTTAATGATTCTGTCACTACCACATTAATTAAAAAAGTGCTGAATTATAGCTGTTTTGGTTAAGGACTGTTGGTATGTAGGCCTGTCACAATAAACAATAAATCAGTTAATCTCACGATAAATTAAATTATCTACCTCATTTTCATTTATCGGCTTTATCGTTTCTTCGTGTCTCTCTTTCTACTGAAGACACTGGATGACAAAAGGCTCAACTCTGATGCTCTTCACTGACCCCTCCCTTTCACTTTTTTCTCTTTTCTTTAAAATATGTTTTAAAGATCCAAAATCACGTTTTTGGATCTTTAAAAGCAGCTAAGCTTCGAGCTAAGCTAACAGGCTGACCTCGGGGAAAAAACCTCCGTCTTGTCGAAGCTCCAAAATTCACAGTTTAAACGTGTGCGTTTGTGTAAAAAAGTTGTTTTTCTCTGTAAAAAGAAGCTGAGAACTTGTTTACTGATTTGTTTATTAAAAGCTTTGTGTGAAAAATGCTATGCTAAAGAGCTCAAACCACACCGAGCGTCCACCATTTTGAGAACTGACAAAAAGAAAAGAGAAACAGCCCATGTCACGTCAAGGGGCCTCCCTCCCATTTATCTTAAAGAGACACGCTGCTCCCTCCCTCGCTATCCATCCTTTGGTTCGAACCATCTTATACTGCCATCGGGTGGTCAAAAAAGGTACTACATGCTAAATAAATTAACCGTAATTTCTTCTTAAATTTGACAATAATTACTAAATAATTATTGTCAAATTTCAAACAATATTATCTTTTATCACAATAATTTCTGAGACAATTAATCGCCCAGCAAAGTTTATCGTGACAGGCCTAATGGTATGGCAGCCATCTTTAACTGGATCGACTCCCCCTGGTAATCACTTGTACATGTCAACTTAGTAAAGACTTTCTGAATGTTGCATTAAAATCTGACCATGTTCATGAGATATTATGCTAACAGACAGACAGATAAAGGCCCTATTTGACCTTATATTTTGCCCTGGTGATTTCAAACTGATGACCAAGTTGGGCCAGAGCTAACTACCTGTATGTAGTCATGTAATATGTGCGCTCAATGGATATACATGAAATGTTAAAATGTCACTCTCAGAAGAGATTAGCATCAATTTCCTTCCCCGATTTATTAAACGTGGCATGTTTCGTTGGTACAAATAATGTCATTTCATGTTATTTTACCCAGAAGGCTAATCAGCATTTCTTAGAAGGCTCTGGCTCAGTTCCCAGCTGTAATAATGTGAGTGTGTGCTGCTTTGGGAGCTAGCAAGGCCTTTAAAAAGCAACACCCCCCAGGTAACGTTTCACACTCTTTGTTGTGTCCGACTGACTCTCACGGCCTCACATTCTCTACAGAGATGGTCTCGCAGCTCAGCTCGCAGGTTTTGAGCAGACACACCTCGTGCATTCTGCTGCTTCCAGCCAGAAGCTCACAAACACCATGTTGTCAACAACAGAGGCACAAAACGCCTTGTTTAATTAAACCAATTCAATTCAGTTTATTTATACAGCTCCAAGTCACAACAGAAGTCCTCTCAGGGCACTGAACAGAAGCATTCATATACATAAAAACACCCATTCTTAGAAGTTCTCGATCTAAGGAAGCCAGCAGATGCTTTGAATCTTCATTTAGTCTCAGTTTCCCCTTTTAATCTCCCTTTTAACAGGAAGACACCTCCAGCAGAACCAGGCTCAGGACAAGCGGCCGTCTGCTTCGACCAGCTGGGATTTGAGAGGAACAGGAAGGAGAAATGGTCACAGAATGACAGGTCCAGGTGTACTTTCTATAGGAGGTCAGACAAAAAATATGTTAAGATAGAAATATAAATGCAAACTATTCCTTTGAGAAAATATGGTCAGTTTGTCCTATAGTCTAAGCCTATAGCAGCATAACTAAGGGGTAGCTCAGGAAACTCAAGCCAACCCTAACTATAGGATTTATCAACAAGGAAAGTTTTAAGCCCAGTCTTAAAACTGAACAATGTGTCAGCTAGACCTGTCACGATAATATTTTCTGGGCGATTAATTGTCTCAGAATTTATTGCGATAAACGATAATATTTTTTGAAATTTGACAGTAATTAGTAATTATTGCCAAATTTAAGAAGAAATGTTGGTTAATTTTTGTGTGTAATACCTTTTTTCGCCCACTGGATGACAGTATAAAACTGTTTGAACTGAAGGATGGATAGTGAGGGAGCGAGCAGCGTGTCTCTTTAAGAAAAATGGGAGGGAGGCCCCTTGACATGACATGGGCTGTCTCTTTTTCCTTTCTTCAGTTCTCAAAATGGTGGACGCTCGGTGTGATTTGAGCTCTTTAGCATAACATTTTTCACACAAAGCTTTTAATAAAAAAAATCAGTAAACAAGTTCTCAGCTTCTTTTTACAGAGAAAAACAACTTTTTTAGATGAAGGCACGGGTTTCAACCGTGAATTTTGGAGCTTCGACAAGACGGAGGTTTTTTCCCTGAGGTCAGCCTGTTAGCTTAGCTCGTAGCTTAACTTCTCAGCTTAGCTGCTTTTAACAATCCAAAAACACGATTTTGGATGGTTAAATTGGATTTTTAAGAGCACGAGAAAGGGAGGGGTCAGTGAAGAGCACTGGAGTTGAGCCTTTTGTCGTCCAGTGTCTTCAGTAGAAAGAGAGAGACACGAAGAAACGGTAAATCTGATAAATGAAAATGAAGTTGATCATTTTAATTTATCATGTGACAGGACTAGTGTCAGCCTCACAGACAGAAACTGGAAGTTGGTTCCACAAGAGCGGAGCCTGATAACTGAAAGATCTTCCTCCCATTCTGCTTTTGCTCACTCTAGGAACCACGAGTAAACCTACAGTCTGAGAGCAAAGTGCTCTGTTAGGAAAATATGGGACAATAATATCTGTAATATAAGATGGAGCTAGGTTATTGAGGGCTTTGTAAGTTAGAATTAAAGGGTGAGTGGTTTAGCCGACATTCCCACATGATCTTTATTATTATTATTGATTTCTGAGCTGAAACTTGTTGTGGTTGTTGTTGAAAGTCGTTGCATTTAAACTGGCAGGTGATGTGCATTCCTTTTAAAGAATGCTAGGCCTTTAATCAGTGACTGGAACAATGCAGGCTCAGACTGACAGTGAAAGGCTTTGGATTCAGAGGATTCCTTCACCAACTTCATTTTCTGTTTATCTGCTCCCATGTTGCTCCTGATTGCTCTTCCCTGTCAGCCGAGCAGCTCGGCAGCGTTGCAGAGAGGCTGCCTGTGTAAATAATGCCATTTGGCAGACGTGTCACATCTCCGAACAGCAAAAATGTTCATTCGGGGCGATTTATTCTGAGTTTAATGCTCTTGTCAGCGCTAGTTTATGCTTTGTCTACTGCCATAGCAACTCTGTCATCCCCTTCCACCGCACTGTGCTGCTCTTAATTTAGACTAATTACATCAACATCCTTCTCCCGTAATGGTCCCATTTGTTTTTGCTGAGCAACATGTCACTTTCATGTTTCTATTTTGATCCGTTTCAGGGGCTCGTTGCAGAATATTATGCAAAAGCTGAAATCAGATGGGTGAGGGAGCTCGTAAGAAATATAACACCGATTGGGACGTGATTTTCAGAATAACAATTAGATCATCCTCCAGCAAAATGGTTAAAGAAAAAAGGATGAATGTTTAATATTCAGCCTGTTTTTATATCATGTCTTCGTTCAAAGGGTTGCATTAATGGAGCCAGCATCTTGTACGCCTCGTTTCTCTGTAAAACAAATGGGTTGGATCTTTTAAAGTGGTGTTTAAGGAAATGTTATGAACAGTTAATATCTTACCTGTTGCAGATAGCTCTTTGAGCTGCCTCAGTTTGGAGAAACTGTTTTGTTCAGACCAGATTGATGATGTAATGGCTAATAAATGTATGAACAAATTATGAATATACTTATGAACAAACTTACTCAGTTGAATTATTAAAGAGATAGTCTGGTCATTTTTGAAGTGATGTTCTGTCACATAGTTAACATGTATTATGTTTTTCACTGTGACATCAGTCAGAGGACACCGAATATGAAGACGAGGACAGAAGTCCTTGTCCATCCCGTTTCCTCAGTCAGTGTCTGCACACAAATTCTCAACAGACATGTATGTTGGATAAAATATCCTTTCATTATCTACGTAGAAAAAAGGAGCCACACATGAAGACAGAAGATTTTTAACCCAGTTTACTTGCAAAGGCAGACGTTCACACAGCTTACACTGATGTTTCATTGAAGCCCCGGTTGCGAAAATTTGCACCGGACAGTGTACAGGAAGTGTTTTTATGCATGCATCAGCACGATGACCTCAGCCTCTTAGACTCAGAGGTGTCAGGTGCCTGCAGGCTCCTCTCTGAAGGAGAAAAAGACCTCTCTGCTCCTCACACACATGGTTCAACATTAATTTAACATTAACAGTGATAAACATCCATAAACCTTTACCTAAATTCCCCTGACAATGTATTCACGTAGTAACACGGACTTTGTTTATATGGGAAAAAAAAACGACAACAAACTGGACAGACAGTTTTATGCAAAAGTGTTGGGGTTTAATAATAGAAAATGTAGTTATTTTACTCCAGTTTGTCCCTTTTTCTTCTTAAATCTTTGTTTTATGGACATAAATATCATAAAATGTATATTCTAATTTGGTTAACATCGCCTGAACAAAGACGTCTACCCTGTTCCATACTCCACGCTCTATGACTGCTCTATGTTCTGGCTGTTACTAAATGTAGATAATTATGTGACAGAATATTATTTCAACATTCGTCAGACTTTTTAACCTCTCCACAAAACCCCACTTCAAAGGATCTGACCTGTCTTATCTCTTCAGAGTTGTAACTGATGTGCTCTTCTTTCCAGTTTTAGACCTGCCCTTGTGCCAAGACACGCAGGACTCGGAGGACAAGGCTTTGGTGCCCTACTACCTCCACCCCAATCCTGCCCTGTGGAGCCCCAAAACCCGCCGCCTCGAGGTCAGCGTCATTCCCCGACCACGCCCTTCTCCCATCCGCCCTCGCATCGACCCCTGGAGCTTTATCTCAGCGGGCGGCGTGAACTCAGCCGGAGGCCGCAGCCCAGTTCGTTCGGAAAGCAACCCTCTGGGCTACCAGCCCTCACCCACCAACCCCTTCACCAGCTGCGACCCTTTCCCCTCTCCAGACTGCGACCCCTTCGCCCTCAAAGCCAACCCCTCAAGCAACTCGGACGCAGCTTCTCCCTTCGACCCTTTCTTGGCTCCGTTTCCCACCTCCCGCTCGGCACCGTGCTCTGCCAACGGCTCCCCCACGCTGCCCTCGTTCCGCATAGCTCCCATGAACTCAGCCGACTCGCCCCTCATTGACCTGGGCTGGGCGGCCTGCAGCAAACCCCTGGATGCAACCAAAGAGAGGGTCCACCCCCGCAGGACTCTGGGGCTCAAACCCTTCAAGTCCCCAACCCAACTCAGAGACGATAGGTTCTAAATGTAACCTCTTCCGTGGATGTTGGGAACTGCAGAGTTGATCAGGACATTACAGTTCAGGATTCTTCACTACTGTCTTATTTCATGAGGAAGATTTAGAATCTTATGGAAACAAGAAAAACAAGCCTACTGAGGGGGTTGCCCCCATGGGAGCCTGAATCATCGCAGGTCTTATTTATACACCTGCCTGCTGCTTTGGGAAGCAGAAAGCCAGTGAAAGGTGGGACCGTGAAATGTTGGATTGCTGCCTGTGAACCAATAGCTGGTGCCCATTTCATTCTTCCCGTTTGCCTCTGCTACTGTTTCCCTTTGAAGGAGGGGGATCAGCAGACCTTCTTTCAGATTCAATCAGACTGCTCATATCCCTCGCTTTCATCTCCCCGTACCTTTGAAGCGGTGTGACAATGCAGAGGTGGATCAGGCGACTCTCACAGCCCCGTCTGCCTCTACAGACTAAAAGCATTCGGGGCAATGGAAACAATCAGAGTGCCTTATTTCGTGAAGTGTTTTTAATATATCTTTTCAAGGTTCCTTAATCTGGTGCACAGGTAAGATGCTACGAATCTGGCCCAAATTTCCACATCGTCTTATTGCTGTGTAAGAAAAAGTCTTCTGTATGTGTCTGTGTTCAAAGAAAGCTTTTTTTTTTTTAACTGTACCTTTTTGGGAGAATCCACTGAGAGTGGATATTTTAGGCCCCTCATGAAATTCAAGACAGGCATTCCTAGGAGGAGCACATACCATTCCAGTCACATTCTTTTGGAAATGCCAAGGATTGAACAGATTTATTCGGCTGGCAGGTGATGCTGCGCAGGAAACAAGCCGGGGAGCCCTCCGCTTTCTCTTTTTAAGCCAAAGAATGCCACTGTGCAAGAGCTAGGACAAAATAGCGTTTGCATAAAGCAGTTTCTGCCTCCGTGTAGCGCCGCAGTGGGACATGAGGGATTCTCATGCAGTGTTGAAATAAATCTACTTTCCCACAGAAATAACCTCACATATTCCATATCATTACCTGTTTAAGGAGGTTTCAGAAAAATCCTCCACATTTATTCCAGACTTGCTGATTTTTTCTGAACTAATTCATCAAATTTTGTATTGAAATTAATCGACGTCAGTCAGAGTCCAAATACATCTATAGTGTGTCATTTTCAAGACATTTGGGGGGAACACATTTATCTAGGAGTGAGATAAGAGAGGTTAATTAAAATGTATTGATTTGTTTGTGTGACTAAGAATAAACCCAGCTGCTGGTTTGTTCTTCTTTGGACAGAAAAACTGAAACTGGAAGCTCCTGTTCAAATGAGAAAACAGTCTGTGCATCAGTGTCTCGAAGGAGTTTAGAAGCTGTGTAAAATATTTATTAGTTTAGAGCCGTTGTTGGTCATTGTGCTCAGATTGGAGATGGGCTGATGGTCTTAGACATCAAACAGAGGCTTTTTACCATCTGAAACAGAAAAGATCAACTTATCTTCAAACCCATGTCAGTATTTCCCCTACAAGTATACAAGCAGGGCGCCCCACCCTGTCAACAGAACTGAGCACCCTGCCTACCAAACCGACACCCCCCCACTCCCCCGTTGACAACTGGCGACACCGATGTAGCGATAAGCTTGCAGCGAGCAAAACAGACGTGCTAGCTACAATGCTAGAAGCACCGATGCCCTCATGCTAAGCTAAAAAAAAAAAAAAACACCCACCCCGAAAAACTTTCAGTACAAACAGCTCACAACTCAGACGTGTCTTGTGCACCCCCTCACCCCCCCGACAAAAGTCACAGAAGAGATGAGCGCCCTGCCAAAGCAAGTAATGTAGGGGAAACGCTGCATGACTTGTACACCACGTCTCTTGAGCCAGTAGTCCCTTGAAAACCCCCTTCAAGAGATGCCTTGTTAAAGAGGTGATCGGAGGTGGACGGGGTTGAACTCAACTTGTCGCTAACACGCCGCTAAGCCTTCAAGTTAGGTAGGAATAAAAACCATATGTAACAGGACGCCCACTTCACTGTATATAGAAAGAGACAGGACTTCCTTAGCTTGTGTTAAGATTCTCTCAAAATATTTGTAGCTTATTGTTCTTTTTCTTTACTATCACTTTAGTTATGAACTATTTCAGTGCATAATACTAGTTTAATGGTAACAGTGTCAAGGTAAAGCAAAACAATGTAAAATGGTAAAAACTGCTTTATTGTTGCGGTTTCTTGGGCACAAAATGCAAAAATATTAATAATTCTTAGAAGTGCAATACTTTGAATCCACCAAAAAAACAAACAAAAAAAAAACCAAGGTTTTAAAAATCAGCAAAAACTTGCCAGTTATTTGCTTCTTGAAAGGAAGTCAGAGGAAAATAAGATAAGACAGAACTTTATTGATCCCGCAGAAAATTGTTGTGCCAGAGTTTCAGTACAAAGGAACATACACAAGAAATCACACAAGATATAAAAAAAATATATAACGGAGAATATAAAAAAATATGCATGATGTAGCGCACACTTAGAGCTCTTTGTGACCGGGAGTTGCAAGTGCAGCATAAAATGTCTGTATTTAAAAATATCCATTGTAGTGTAGATGGGGTCTAAATCGTCTGAGGGTGTTTAGGACAGCAGGGGTCAGTCTAATTTGCAACTATATTTTAGGCAGTCACTTTGTTTCTGTTGTATAATTTCTTACAATATACATACTGGTATATCCAATACCAATATTATTGGTATTGCAATGACAGTAAATTTTAGTCTATTGTGCAGCCCTACGTTCACTGGTAATACCTTGGCTCCTTAGAAGATCCTGGGCTGAGCAGTCCTGTTTGACCTCTCGTTAGTACCTCTTACAGTCACTCAGGTGAAACTCAAATATCCTTCTAAAACACCGTCTCTTTGCATGTACCAGTAATTGCTGTGATGTCTGGCTCTCAGAAGTCACGGTTGGCCCGATTTGACGTTTTAACAAACTTTGTGCAGCAGAGCTTCCTTTGACGTCTGTCACCGCTGGGTTGCCAAGCAACAAGCTGAGGTATCTAAAGGTCAGTACAGTAATGCTGGTGACCTTTCTCACATTTGGTCAGAGTTTGTTTGGATTCTTTTATTCCCTAAGATTTAATTGGCTTCTCTAAAAGCTAAAGTTATAATTTCCATACAAATGAAATTAGATCATTGCTCTTCTCATCTCACTCACTGGAGAATGTGTGTATTTCCCCCCCGATGGTCTCCCTAATTGGGCAAGGAGTATTAATATCTCAATTATGTCCCAGTTTGAGTTCCCGATCAGCTCAAAACCCTTCTAGACTTACTTTGGAGCCATAGTGTGAATGGTGCTATCGCTGATCATCCTGCACGCCCAGTGCAGCATGTTCACGCACGTTTATAAAATCCATTGAGAATTAGATGTTTTCTGAGCTGATCTCGCTAATGGATTTAATGCTTCGTGCCTCCGGAGTGCGTTAAATATTACAGACTGATGACGGCAGTTGAAGAGCCTTTTCTTTACGCTAGTTAATTAAAATAATTATTGTAGGTTCAGCAAGTGGGCAACTGAAAGAGACCTATAGCAGAAAGTCCCCCTGTTAACAGTTGTTTTTTAATATTACACTGTACAAACACTGATTGGCTCCCTCCCTGACGCGGTGTCAGTAAAAGACAATTCCAGATTAGTTGCGGCGTAGACTGAAATCTTGTTTCCAGAACATAGAGCGATGTGATTAACCCGTTAATCCTACAGACGAACGCCAGAAGCTTAAATTGATAATTAGTCTCTTGATAAGTACAGGGAGCATTAATAAAGGATTCAGACATTTAGCTAATTAATTTGGCCTGACAATAGTGTAATGTCCTCCTCACTCGAGGCAAGGTGCAACATCTAAGCTGTGACGTTTTTCAACGTGTACTTTCTCTCTGCTCCTTAAGTTTCTCAGTTGCCATCGGCTATAAACTGCTGACCACACTTTTTTGTCGTCTTCGTTGCGAAAGCCATTTCCTTTTTCTGCGTTCCTCCCCCTCCGGTCTTATAGTAACGTTTTCTTAAATAGGAGGAGAAAAACCTTCTCTCTTTAGGTTTCCCTGGGAGTGCGTTTGTCCGAGCGTTCAGTTCAGTAACAGCCTGGATGATGCGTGTCGAGGGACTGAGAGGCTGATGTTTGTTCCAGAGAAGAGTTTTATTTCTTAAGGGCTGCTGGTTTTACGCCTACTGTTCAGCTCCAAATCACCTCTCTTCATCTAATAGGCATCCAAGTACAGTATTACATATGAAACTTTATGTAAGAAATATTATTAAGCAAAAGGAGAGAAAAAAATTGGCACAAAAGTACATTCTATGCCTCTTTCCTAAACTTGTCTTTTTCTTTGATTTATAATTTCCTGTCAGTTATTAAATATTGCTGCACACAAAGTTTAATAGTGACTAAATCAGGATAATGTGAGAGAAACGGGGGGGGGGGGGGGGGGGGAAGAGGTAAAAATGACTTCATTGTTGTTGTGGTGTCTAAACGCAGTGGTGCCAAACCCTGGTCCCTGAGGAACGCCATCCTGCATGTTTCTGTTGTTCCTCTGCTCCAACACACCTGACTTGAATGAAAGGGTGATTAACAGGCTTCTGCTGAACTTAAGGAAGTAATTAAACCACTGAATCAGGTGTGCTGGAGCAGAGAAACAACTAAAACGTGCAGGATGGTGTTCCTCAGGGACCAATGTTCGGCACCCGTGGTCTAGAGCACAACCTGATAGAGAAAATCCACACTCAGAAGCTTCAGATCTACATGGATTTTTATGGGTTTTTTTTTTAATATTCTTTAAATATTTGGGTGGATGGAAGAAAAACAGTTTTTAAAAATGCTGACTAACGTGAACTGGGCCTTCCAAGCCACATTCTGACTCACACACGTTCCAAACTGGTAGAAAGTTTTGACTAGACGCCGTAAACTGAGCTCAATCCCCCATTTCAAGCAGAGCTAACAAGACAAACAAGGGCCGCAGTTTTTTTAACAGACACACAAGATGAGAGACGAGTTATCTCCTCGTCTTGTCGACACAAATAAGAGTCGTCTTTTGACGGTCATTACTCTTGGGTGGCTGTTATTTATCCAGAAAGCTTTGAGGGGAGAAACAGGCGGCATTAAGAAAGCTGAGATGATTGAAACATTCGGGCCTTTGGCTCCATCACTAATTCGTTTTCTTCAATCTGCCACTCATGAATTGTTGAGGCTAGATTTAAACTCTTCTTCAGACGTGACGTTGAAAACCTTTCTTTTCCTGCCTCTCTACTTAATAAATAATGTTTTGTTTTTGTTTCCTAATAAAAGGAGCCTTGTGCTTTTCAGACATGATTACTACCTGCAGTTAAATAGGATTTTTTTCTTTTCCTCTTGGTAATCACTTCGAGGAAGCACTGTACACACAACACTACTCCTACCTCGGCTGTCCTGAATCTGATTTGTAGTTTTTTGTCCGAGAAGGAAAAACCAGGACACGTTGTAGTGAGGCTGTCTTTGACGGGGCTGTCTGATTCTTATTTTTGGCTGTCAGATTTAAGAGGCGTAGCTGCCAGTCGTCCGCCTGAGCTGACTGCCAACACTTCAGTAAGGAAGTCAGATTTTTATTTGTTTGTTTTTTTGATGGCTTGTCCGTCTAGGCAGCACACTGTCTGGAGAACAGACTGACGGGTACCGTATTTTTCAGGTTATAAGGCGCACCGGATTATAAGGCGCAATATCAATGAACGGGTCCGTTTTCAAAAGGCGCACTGGATTATAAGGCTCACTGTCGAATTTTGAGAAAATTTAAAGTTTTTACGTGTGCCTTATAGTCCAAAAAGTACGGTAATAAAGCTGTACAGAAGATATTAAACAATATGGCAGATGGGCTTATGACCCCAGTGAAATACAGTATAACTACTGTACGTGACTAAGTACTGAAGCTCAATATTTTGACTCTGTGTTTATGAGTTTCACAGATAAATTATCAGACGTCAAATTAATCATTTTTGCAGACTAGTTATTTGTTTTGTGAACTAGACCAAAACACTTGGAGCCTTTCAACACTGTGAAGAAAAATGTGTTTATTCACACGCATCAGATTTACCTACTTGTAGAAATGATTGTGGAAAGATTTATGTTGAAAAAGAATATATAGGGACATTATGTTGTGTTTAGTCTCTAAAAAAAAAAAAGCTATTCTAAATTTCTGCCTTGATTGTAAAAATTAAAACGAGCACAATTGTTACAGGCGAATAAATCCTGTTGAAGCTAAGCTAACGCTAAGCTAGATCTTACTGATGTTTGTGCTTTAATTGTGCAAAATAAACAAAACCTAACGATTACCAGTCAAGTCATGAAGTGAATTATTACTGAAAACTAAACTAAACTGGAGTGTAAACCACAAACTTTGTGTTGTTTCAGCTCAACAGAATCTGTTTTCAGATTCTGGCTTCAGTTCTGATTTGCAGCCGTTTTTGACGGCTCCGTGTACAAATTACGACGGCGCCTGAAGGCAACACGTTTGTTCAAGCAGCTGAAGAGGAGCTGTCTGTTAACGAGGTGTCAGATTAAACCTTCTGTTTCCCAGTTTAAACTGGAGAAGAAGAATCACTGAAAGAGTCTGAAGAGAGACTAAATTTAAGACTTGATCCAAGTTTTATCCAAACCTTAATTTAATCCCACTGGATTAAACCAATTTATTTAATTTAAGAGACTAAATTTAAGATTTGATCCAAGTTTAATCCAAAATTTAATTTATTGTAATCCCACTGGATTAAATTAATTTATTTAATTTAAGAGCCTAAATTTAAGACCTGATCCAAGTTTAATCCAAACATTAATTAAACCCCACTAAAAAGTCAAAGCAATATATTTTCTGTGTGACTAGCTAGCGTAGCCTTAAGCATTTTAGCTAACAGCCCAGCTGAAGCTAGCTTTTGACGTAAAACTGTGCTAGCCAGCAAAACAGTTTATTTTCTGTGTACCGTAAAGAAAATTATTGTATGTTCACAGGTTAGTGCGCTACTTTTAGCATGAGCTGTTTTGGCTAGCTGAAAGTAACTTTAATATATGAACTATGCCAGTTTCCGTCACCCCCTCCCCTCCAATTAGAATCATTTTAAATAAACTATGATTATGTTGGTGTGTTCAACACCCAGCAGTTCAACTCCTTCCTTTTATTTACTGTTCAGCATGTTTTTAGCAAGTATTTCAGTCTACAGCGTGAAATAAATGGTAACACTTCACAATAAGGCTCCTCTTATAGATGGCTAATAAATAGTTTATTGATACATTATTAATTCC